ATAAGGAGAAGGATGGAGATCAGGATCAAGGCATCAGAAGATGTCGATTGACATTACATTTGAATATTTGAAGATTATAATTATCAGGGACCGAGATGCCAAACTAGTAGCACGATTAAATTCATGCAGTTCGGGTATCAGTGAAAGTAGCTCATTAGAGTAGTTGCCTTGAAAATATTTGTAGAAAAGGCAGAGGGAAGCCACATCATGTTTGCGAGAAAGTAACTGATCACCCCAAGCAAGGTGGGAGGGTCACTAGCAAGCAAGGGGTTGCAGGGAGTGAGAACAAGAGTATGGAGGGGTGTTTGAGGAAAGAATGTAGAGAAGGCGCGGGAATCAGGATCAAGGCATGAGAAGATGTCGATTGACATTCCATTTGAATATTTTAAGATTATAGCTATCGGGAAAGCAAGTAAACAGAAGGGAGAAGATGGAGTAGAAGAGGCGGCTACATTTAACTGTTTGGACAGGAAAAGAGAGGGACCGAGATGCCAATCTCGTAACACGCTTAAATTTATGCAGTTAGGGTACCAATGAAACTAGCTTGTAAGAGCAGTTGCCATATGTGTAGTAATGCTGAGGGAAGCCACAGCATATCGGTGAGAAAATGACTGTACACGAGATTCACGTGGCTTTGCATTAAGCTACTAATGACTTTTTTTTTTATTATGATTGGGGCAAACTATCTCAAATGAGATGAAAACCAGATTCTTGTGTTCGTCAAAAAGTTTCTCATATTAAAACAGATTTTCCTCAAAAGTATCAAAGAGCTGCAAATAATGGTGAATATATAGTTGAATAAAATGTAATTGTGCTTTATTTTAGAAACTTGAATTTTATAACTTGCCATATTAACCGAATCTTGCACCAACTAATTATTACATTTTTGGGGTTTTTTTTATCGCTACAAAAAGCATTTATGGGGAGAATTTTATTCAAGGTTTTGTAGAAGAACCTTTTAAAAAATCAAACCCTGCAGAATTTTAATCAAAATATTGAAGAAATGCCTAATAAGTGGCAAGAAAACATTGCAAATAATGGTGATTGTATAAATGAATAAAATGTAGTTGTACTTTATTTTTTGAAGAATAAAACTGATAAACAAAAACAGAAATTATTTTTAAATCAACTTAATAATTCCACGCTAGAAAGACAGTATGTTGAGGAATGAGAGATCTAGAAAAGTGAGCAATATTATTCAAATCTAGAGACTATCACCTGTTAAGAAACATCAATGGAATCTGTCGAAGAGTGATGGGTGTAGAATCAGAAAACAAACAAGATGTTTTATCATTATCATTCATGTATTTCAAACACAAAACCCAGAAATACAATTCTTGGTTTCAGGTCAAAGACAATAATAGACCAAAACTAAGTTTTGGGAAAGTTAACTCCAAAACCGACAATGGCACTCTTTGAAAAGGGTGACATGACCTCTGACCACTGATTTGAAAACCATATGCCCAGGAAGACGCCAATTGTTGGAATAAATATCATAGGTGAGTTTCACGAACTCAGAAATAATTTGTTGCTTGGTAAAACCAGGATATATCGATATAATAAGGAAAACACAAATACTCATCATTACTTTTAAACTTATTCTTGTTTTCATTTTCAGCTTTTAGGGTCTTTTTTTTCTGTTTCAGTTTTTTTAAATCTTTTATTGCAACTTTATTTAAGTCATCAATCTATGGCAATGAAAGGACAACTTTATTGAAGAGTTTCTCAAAAGTTTTTCATATCAAAATCTTCGCAAAATTACTGTCATGGGTTCTTACCTATAACTACAGAATGAACACTATGTATACTACGGCTTTCAAGAGAGAGGGTCGAATCAATCCGAGCTTCTTGGCTTGATGGTCTAACTCTCTGCCTCTGAGCAGAGAGGAACCTGGACGAAGCTCCGCCGAAGGGCAGAGGCTCGTTTGGGGAGGTAGACCAACCCGATCCCGTTTATACGGGTTCTACGTGCTTTTTTTGGCCGAGCCTACGGGGTCGGGAAACCCACGTAAAACTCGGCTTTGTGCCACATGCAATGCTCGTGGTGGGGGTGGCTAGATACCGAATCAAGCCGACCTTCTCGAATTGACGGTCGAACTCTCCGGCTCTGAGCAGAGAGGAACGCGGACGAGGCTCCGCCGAAGGGTAGAGCCTCGTTCGGGGAGGTTGACCAACCCGATTCTGTTATTACAGTTTCTACGGGCATTTTTTGGCCGAGCCTAGGCACTTGGAAAACCCACGTTAAACTCGGCCTTGTGCCACATACAACCCTCGTGGGGTGGGCAAGTAAATATCGAATCGAGTCGAACCGTTTCGGGTTGACGGTCGAACTCTCTGCATCTGAGCAGAGAGGAACCCGGACGAGGCTACGCCGAAAGGTAGAGCCTCGTTCGGGGAGGTTGACCAATAGGATTCTGTTTTTACACTTTTTTACGGGCGTTTTTTTGGCCCAGCCTACGGGTTCGGAAAACCAACGTATAACTCGGCCTTGTGCCACATCTTTCTCTCGTGGTAAGTAAATATCGAATCGAGTCGAGCCGATAGTAGTTCACTCCAAACCAGACTGACAGTCATACTAATACCTTCCACATCTTGTATTATTATTTCATGTAATATACCTTCGTTATTTCTACTCTTGTGTTCGTGTTGTTCTTCCTTGGTCCTAACCTGGACTATAACAGTTACTCAACTTGATCAAAGAATTGCCAGATAAATGGCAAGAAATCATTGCAAATAATGGTGAATATATAACTGAATAGATTCTAATTGTCTTTTACTCTTTTAAAGAATTAAGTTGATAAAAGAAAGCAAAAACTATTTCTAAGTTTATTAACAGATTATTGACTTCTACTTGGCAATATCAATAGGTGCGTCGATGATTTGGGCTTTGATTTAGGATTTACTGGACGTTAAGCCGAGCCGCGCTACTAACAAGATATTCAATGAAATCGTTATCTTTGGTTGAATTTTACTTCTTTCTTCTTGATTAGTATTTATTTATGGTTGTAATTAAATACTGTTTTATTTAACACTAGCAGTAGAGCCCGGCGTTGCCCGGGGATGTAACAGTAAGAGATAGATCATGTACCGACCATCATAAAGACAGAAAAATAAAATTGACAAAGATTATTGTTTAAGGTTGACGGACACGCATGTCTTAATTAGTTGATTTTTTTAGTTTTTTTTTACGAATTGGTCAAAACCAAACTCAAACAAAAACATTGTTTTCAATCGTTATGAGAATTTTTCAATTTTATTATAAACAATTGTCTTGTAAATGGAATTTTTAAAGCATTCTGAATGTAAAAAAAAAAAATAGTGTGCAAGGCAATAAGAAACACTACCTGCTATTTTTAGTGAAGTTTTGTTGAAATCGGTTGAAAAATTTAGGAAATCCGATCCTATATATAAACACACACACACACACACACACACACACACACACACACACACACACACACACACACACACACACACAACCTGGGTTTTAAAATAAGTATAACTCGATATGAGTTGCCCCCCTTTCATTCTCGAAACCGATGCCTCTTAATCGTGTTTTCAAATTGATTTCGTGCAAAAACAATTGTGTTTTCCCATTTTTCGGCGCTGTCAGAACCACCGCAAGGTAATTTTACGTAATCCTGTGAAGTTTTATTGAAATCGGTTGAAAAAAAGTAAGAAATCCGATCCAATATATAAACGAACAGACACACACACACACACACACACACACACACACACACACACACACACACACACACACACTTACTAGCTTCCTTTTTTTTTAAAACTGTTCATTGCCTTGATTGTTACTAGAAAAAGACAGTGACGTGCGTTTGATGTTGGACGTGGGGTCTGTATCCTCGCCTAGCAAAAAAATTAGCTTACTAAAGCATCCATAAGAATTGCAAATAATGGCGGATATATAATCGAATAAAATGTAATTGGGCTTTATTTTTTGAAGAATAAATTTGATAAAAAGCAAGAGAATTTATTTATCTTTCAATATCTCGCATGTATGTAAATACGTTTTTTGTGTGAATATTTTATAGATAAAATGTTTAAATGATTGTTCGGTACGAGCGTTTTTGTATTGAAGAATTCAATGTGTTTCATATAGATACATCTGTTCACGTGGGTTTATGCCTTGTGTATGTAGACAGCATACAAAAAGTTAATTTAATTTTGTGGGCTTACGATATAAACTTAATTTAATTCACTTAAGAATTTGGGCATGAGGGTCAGTAAATTCATCACGTAAAAAATAGCTTACTACATAAAACACAAGAATTATAAATAATGGTGAATATATAACTGAATAAAATGCAATTGTCTTTTATTTTTTGAAGAATAAAGTTGATAGACAAAAACGAAAATTATTTCTCATTCGACCTAACAGATAATTCTCTTCTAATTTGCATTCGCAATAGAATTTCCACAAGTTTCAATAAATGCATTAATAGGCGAGATGTCCAGAAAAGATTGTAACTATTAAATAGTAATTAATTTCTTTTTCAGTTACAGTATTTTTTTATTTCTTTATTGAAATCTATGGCAATGAATCACCGACAACTTTATTCAAGAATTTATCAAAATATATGGAAGAGCTGTCTGATAAGCGACAACAGGTCATTGCAAAATTTTGTTTTATTTTTTTATGAATAAATTTGATAATCGGAAAAGGAAATTATTTCTAACTCAAGCGAATTTAATAAAACAGTAAATGAACTGGTTATTGGTGGGGTGTTTTTGTTTAGCGGCATATCAACATCTATGGGGGTATTCAATACCAAAATCTAAATATTTTCTACGCAATTTTACTTTATTTTTGGATATAATAATGCTTTAGTCATATTAATTAATTCATAGCTTGGAGGAAAAGAAATAGTTTATACCTTTTCCAGTGAGTATTTCAGCGTAAGCGAATATAATGGACCCAACTGGAATTGGAACTCGGCTCTACGATTTCCAATTCCGAGCCATTATCCGTAACATCCAAGCCTACAGCATGTGGTATTCGCAACCGGTCGCCCATCTAGGAAATAACCAGGCTCGGCGTTGCTTAACTTCGGTGAGCGCAAGGGAATCGGTGTTTTAAATCAGTGAAGGCGAAAAGGAATCTTCTGTCGATTGACCAATGTAGTTCTATCAGGTTTAGACTTTCAGTGGATTCGGAATTAGTAAGCCGGCTTCTAAATCATTCATTTTTTACGGATTATCAACCCTTTTTCAGATTATTTAAAGATAGAAAATATTTTAGATTTTAAGAACTTTTCCTGTGGAGATGATAATGGTTTAATGATACTATTTAGGCCATAGCTGGTAGGAGAAAAAATAGTTTATACTTTTGTTTAAAGTTTATCGAAGAGATCCCTGGTAAGCGACATCGGATCATTGCAAAATTTTAAATTTGATAAACAGAATTCAGGCGAATTTAATAAAACAGCCAATGAAAAATGGTTGTTGATCGGTTGTTTTTATTTACCGACAAAATCTATGTGGGTATTTAATGCCGAAATCTAAATGTTTTATACGCAATTTTACTTTATTTTTGGATATAATAATGCTTTAGTCATACTAATTAACTCATAGTTTGGAGGAAAAGAAATAGTTTATACCTTTTAACTGAACATAATGAACCCAATTGGAATTGGAACTCGGTTCTACGATTTCCAATTCCGAGCCATTATACATTACACCACTCGCAAATCCACTGGAGAACTGACGATTCTCAAGTGCTCAGCCATCTTGATACTGACCAGGCTCGACATTGCTTCACTTCGGTAATTGTAGGGGAACGGGTGTTTCCAAGTTATTTGGCCGTAAGCTTAACTGGATTCGAAAAGCTACTATACGTTTCATGGCAAATAATTTTCGTGATCATCAGGCAATCGAATAACGAAAGCGGGATTCTTGGCCTTCGATGTTCACTGACTTACTGCATTCCATTTTTTATATCGCGGTTTTACATGTCGAAATAATTTAGATTACATTTAGCTATTACTTAAAAATACAATGCGAAAACGCCACTGAAAGTTGACTTTTTTTTTAATCATTTGACCCCCAAGCAAGAATCTAATATCTCATGCCCAATAAATAGAACTGACAAAGATTCCAGTAACCAATAAGAAAAGAAAGACAAGAACAAGGCAAAAATAATAAAAAGCAAAAAATATATATATATACATTAGGATTATAATTTTTGTAATCCTTTGTGTCCTAACTCGATGAACTTTTGTTCAAAAGTAACGAAAAAGGCATTATTTCGGTTTAGTTCTAGACAAAGTTAACCCACAAACCGAAAATTCGATTTTATCATATACGCAACAAAGGAAAAAAAAATCAGGAACTTTATTTTTCAATTTACTAATTATGTAATTCGTTAGTACTTATGTATTATTAACGCTTTTAACAGTTTATAGCTATAGCATAACATGCAAACTTAAAAAGCAACACAAACAAGTTCTGGAATATTCCAGGAATCTCAGAACGGTTGCAGACATTTCTAGAAGACTATACAAAGTCATATTACTATTATACTTATATACTATTTTATAAATTCCTGTTTGGGAAGATATATTTTTAAAAACAATAATTGAATTGAACCATTTTTCATTATTTTTTAACAAAAGTTCATCAAATACTGATGCAGGAAATCAATTATTTTACAAAACGTCATAACCTTAATGTTTACACACACACACAAATATATATATATATATATATATATACATATATATATATATAATTCATAGAGTTTGGAAGAATTCTAAACAGAACGCAGAAAGCACAGGGCGGCGGTTTTGTCATATTTTTGGGACTCATCAACTACATGTACAGATGGTATGACGCTTGAGCTCTATCGAAACGGTCCGCGTTCGAATTTCGGTAGTGGATGCGCATTGCTGCTGGGTCCCAAATTAGGAAGTCCAGTGCTTTCTGCATTTTCTTGAGAATGCGTCTAGACTAATCTGTGGAACATAGTGAGCGCCGACGACAGATTTCACATTCAGCCGACCTTCCATGTCATGTATATGAAAGAGCAAACGTAAGCAAAACAAGAGTAAGGCAAAAGAGTTCATAAAGTAAGAATGATATTAATGCACAAAAGACATAGACAAGTGATCTCAGCGTTCAGACTTCCAGGCAAGAAAAAAAATATGGCGGATGAGACTTAGGAGTGGTCTAATTTATTGGCTAGGAAGAAATCTTAGCATGTATCTGTGTGATTTGTTTATACATTTCAGGAGAGGGAAGTTTTGCAGCCATTCCTTTCAAGACTAGAACCAACAGATTATGGTTTCTACTACAAGAGTTTTGGGCATCATATTCTTGCTCCTTGCTTTTGTAACGGTGTATCGACCGTTAACAACAGAAAAAACAACAACAACAAAAAAACAAAAAAACAGTTGAACTGGAAAACAGTAAATAGAGATAAGACGTGATGCAGACAATTAAAAGTGTTTTTTTTTTGTCATTTCCCCGTGATTTGCAAGATTTCGTTAATTTGCTCGTTCTGGGGTAACTTATATCAGTGGCAAGAGACTAAAGGTTACTTCCGGTTATATCACAAGCTAATAGACAGGACACACACAGGAAGACACTCAGTACGCATATGTTGTCGAATGAGATTGAATCGTATGAAAAATATCGCATTGTAATGGTTGGGACGTAGCCGCTGACGATGCTGCTGGTTCCGTTGCATATCAAAGACATAGCTGATGATTATAGCTGCCTCCACAGGATCTGATTGAACTGCTCAGCAACCTTGATATATTCGAGAAAGATATCAGAATAATCAAGAACCTTACAGGCAGCAAACAACATACATGCGCATAGAGAACGAGTTCAATGAATATACAAAAATAGAAAGAGGCGTAAGGCAAGGATGAGTCCTCTCGCCCGACCTGTTCAACCTATACACTGAGACAATCCTGAGAGAATTGGTAATCCTAGCGGGATTTAGCATTTGAGGCTACAACCTTAAAAACATAAGATATGCAGACGACACAGTACAGATAGCAGACACGGAAAAGAAATTACAAAATCCCCTACAGAAGGTAGAGAAGGAGAGCGAGAAGAAAGGACTAAGCATCAATTGCAAGAAGACAGAATGCATGGTCACCAGTAAGAGGAAGAACCTGAAATGTAATTTTCAGGTAGCGAACACTAGAATCAAGCAAACTCGGAAGTTTAAATATCTGTGAAGCGTCTTGACAGAGGACAGTAATTGCGCCAGTGAGATCCGTTGACGGATTGGAATGGCCAAGGACACATTCTAAAAGCTGGGCTGACTATTGCGAGACAGGAGGATCTCTTTGGCAACAAAGAAAAAAATACTGAACTGTTATGTGACATCTCCCCTTCTTTACGGTAGCGAATGTTGGACGATTTCCTCAAAGATGAAGAAGAGACTCGAGGCGACGGAGATGTGGTTCTACAGAAGGATGCTAAGGAGAGCATGGACCGAACGAGTGAGGTCTTAGCGAGGTTTCAAACAAGGAAGAGGCTATATATATATATATATATATATATATATATATATATATATATATATGTATGTATATATATATATATATATAATATGTATATATATATATATATATATATATGTATATATATATATATACATATATATATAAATATAAATAAACATAAATATATATATATATATAAAATAAATATATTAAGATATTAATATATATATAAGTGAATATATATATATATGTATGTTTATATATATACATATATATGTATATATATATATATATTATATTATATATACATAATATATATGTATGTATATATATGAATAATTATATATATATATATACACTCATAAATAAATATCTTAAGATAAATAAACTATGTGTAAATAATAATGTTAATAATGAAAAAATAAAAAGAATAAGAAATATAATGGAAAACAATCAGTGAACGAAATGTATATATATATATATATATATATATATATATATATATATATATATATATATGATAAGGTAAATAGACTATCTGTAAATAATAATTTACAATACAAAAAATAAAAAATAAACGAAAGAAAAATAATGAAAAACATTAAATCCATTAATAAAATACTTGGAGGAAAAATACTGGGGTGGAAATGTGGGTTTTGTAAACAGTGACTATTACGGCTAATAATGCAAAATAGAATCGAGTTCTCTCAGTCACTGTATGTTTATCTAAAAGTAAATACCCTTAAATTCATTTTCATCTCTGCCATGTGCCAATGGCTTAGTGGTAGAATCCCGACTGATACCAATTCTGTCGGTTTTCAATCCCTAGCTACAGGCAACCGAACGTCTAGCCACACTGATGAGATGTGATATAGCGAAACAGTCAGTCTGTGGATAACAATATATATATATATATATATATATATGTGTGTGTGTGTGTGTGTGTGTGTTGTGTTTATATTTTATTTTAATCCAATCTACACAAATGAAATCCATTTTCGTTTCTGCTGTTGTTAAAAGCCTTCAAATGATATGATTTCTGTTATTTGTTACAGTCCTTGGTATAGATTATGTAGCGCCAGTTAACGAGTTTCTAAAAGCTACAAGCTTCATTCGCTCGATCACTGTATATATACCTAATATCCATTTCCATTCTTATTTCTCTTCTGGGGTTGGTTGAATGGCAATGAATAAAAAAGTCATTCATCATACCCGTTTCATATTACCTGGGATTGCACCTTTCAAACGATATCGGATTTACTGGCATAATTCAATTTGCGCACGTACCATAATGGATAGGACGCAAAATAATCAAAAGCACACGCCAAATATATCCGACGTCCATAGCCCAGATATCAACGATGAGGGAAATTTGAGCCGAGAAGCCGAGTTCGAATTCCCGTCTCTTCTTTTTATGTTCCTTTTTTAGCAAATATACTTGGAAAAGGCATACCACTTCTGATCCCAGCTATTAGCGTGTTAGACTGGATTTGATAATTAACCAACCCAAGAAAAGGAAGCATTTGAATTACAAAACCGTGAAGAAGATGACAGGAAACATTCTAATAGCTTCTTCGAGAATGTATGCCCTTCATAGATACCAAAGAAATGGAAAAAAGTGGAGA